TAGACAAACCTCCTATACCAAACCGTAAACCGGATACAATAATAAATACAGTCTTTAGTGTGCTGTACGTTTCGGCCCTAAACTTTAACTATCGGTCCTTATTCGACCCAAATATACTAATGTCATAGTAACCTCCATCCACCCCCCCCCCCCCAAGTTGGAGGGTGAGGTTACGCCCAACTTGCCAAGCAACAAATGATGTTGTCCACCTGTCAAGCACTTAGTAAAAATGTCAGCCAACTGAGGAGAAATACAGAGCAAGGAAATAAGACCGTCAACCAATTTTGTCCTTATGAAATGACAATCCACCTCAACGTGTTTAATACGTTCGTGAAACACGGGATTTTTCGCAATGTAGGGCAGCCAGATTATCACAATAGACAGGAACAGGAGACACAGTAGGAAGTCCCAAATCAGTGGGTAAACGAACAAACCAAACCAATTCAGCCACAACCTTACTCATTGCCCGATACACAGCCTCAGCAGAGGATAATGAAACAACAGTCTGTTTCTTAGATTTCCAACTTATTAAACTCCCTCCTAGAGATATGAAAAACCCAGAAACGGACCTACGAGACTCAGAACATGCAGCCCAATCACTATCACAGTAGGCAAGTAAGGAAAAATCAGGGGAGTTATTGAGAAAAACCCCAAAATCAGGAGTGCCTTTCAAATATCTCAAAATGTGAAAAACAGCATTCATATGAGGCACCCTAGGACACTTGAGAAACTGACTTAAGTGCTGAACAGCAAAACACAAATCAGGCCTAGTGTGGGTGAGAAAATTAAGCTTAGAAACTAAACTTCTATGAGTGCCAGGCCTAGGCAACAACTCCCCATCATCAGATTTCAATTTTACACCCAATTCAAGAGGAGAAACCACAGCTGAAACAGAATCACAATTAAATTCATGAAGTAAATCAGCAATGAACTTTCGTTGATGAAGAATAACCCCAGAGTCATCATATAAGACTTCAATGCAAAGAAAATAGTTGAGTAAACCCAAATCTTTGATCTTAAATTGGTTGTTTAGGAACTCCTTAAGGGCAGAGATTTCATTAAGGTCATCACCCGTAAGAATAATATCATCCATATACACAGCAAGAAAAACAGTGGAAGCGGCAGATTTCTTAATGAAGAGAGAATGTCATTTAGTGAAGAAACATAACCCCTAGAGCAAAGAGCATTGGATAACTTGGCATACTACTGACGAGATGCTTGCCTTAGACTATAAAGAGATTTTTGGAACTTGTCAACCAAAGTAGAAGTATGCTGAACAGTGGAATTAACGGTAAGACCTGGAGGTAACTTCATGTAAACCTCCTCATCTAAGTCATGATGGAGGGATACATTGTTAACATCTAATTGAAAGAGAGACCAGCCTTTCGTGATAGCAAAAGCCACAAGACACCAGATGGTGCACATCTCGACAACAGGGGAAAAGGTTTCAAAAATCAATTCCCTCAATTTGTGTATCATCCCATACTACCAATCTAGCTTTATACTTCTCCACACTACCATCAGCTTTATGTTTAATTTTATACACCCATTTACAACCAATTGGATTCTTGCCTTTAGGCAATTCAACTATTGTCCAACTCTTATTAGCCACTAAAGCATCAAACTCTTTCCTCATAGCCTCCTTCTAACTTCAGGAGGAGGGACAGAACAGGAATCAGAAGGTGCAGGAATAGAGGGGATGACTGGTGGATCAAAAGATGCAACAGGTGGATCAGGAGATGCAATAGGTGAAGAAGGGACAGAACAAGGAAAGGAAGAAGTTGAAGTTTCAGATATGGAAAGGATAATAGTCATCAGTAAGAACGGAAGGGGCTAGAGAGCTAGGGGAAGGAGAAGACAAAAGGAATGCAAAAATTGACGCATGGAAGACCACATCTCTGGAGACAAACACACTTCTGGTGGACAGATTGTACAACTTATACACTTTCTTACCAAATGGATAACCAACAAGCACACAAGGAGATGCTCTAGGATCTAGTTTATCTCTGTTACACTTGGGGATAGCAGCATAGCATATGCATCCAAAGGGTTGTCGACGCCCCCTTTTCCTCGCGAAATTGGGTTTACGACATTTGAGAAGACAACTCTATTCCCGTGTGGGAATTGGGTTTTTGGAATTGAAGAGTCACCACCTAATGATTAAGTGCATTAGGACATTAAGAGTTTGAATTTTTGAAAACCAGAGTTCGGGTAAGGGCTAGAAATTATCTCGAGGGGAAGGTGTTAGGCACTCCTCAAGATCCACTAGTGTGGTTCCCGGCCATGCTATGTTTTGACTTTAATGCAAATAAGTATACAAATAACTTCACACATAAGGGTTACAAATAGATACGTAACAAGCATGTTGGAATCAAGGTCTAGATGATCTACAATTTGTTTGAGGGAGGGTCTAAATGCAGAAAATTAATCAAGACCTTGAATAAACAAAGAAGAAAAATTTAGGGGAAAAGGGAATAATGCAGTAAAATTAAAGAGGGGTTTTGGGTAGTTGAAAAGACAGAATTTTATTGATATTAAACAAAGTCACATAAAGGAAAGGGGGTCCTAGGTTTGTAAAACACATGGATCATCCACACAACACCGGTAATCAATCGTACGCATAGCGTTATCATGTGATCATCATCTCCATGTCTACCCTTCCCACCCCGTTAAGGTATTTAAGTGCAGAATGGTATCAGTCCCGGAGGCGTTTAGGACTACTAATCCTAAAAGGGAGGGAGCTTGGCTTTTCAGGGGTTTTAAAAGGATAAAATTCTAGGGCGACAAACAAAACACATAAAGCAGTTAATGGGGAAATAAGAACAATTAAAGGCTCAAGTAGGCCTCCTCACTTAAAGAAACGAATTATTTAGCATGTCTTACACATACTGTTTAGGTCATTAATTAAAATTAACGCAGGAAGAATTGATTTACCACATATTTCCCAGATAGGGAGTCCAAATTAGTCCTGCTTAGATGTAGTTGTCGAAAACTGACAGTTGATTAATTATCTAACTATTTGTATGTTAAACAGGGCCTATAGGCATGATATCTATTAATCCAGGGACGGAGGAATAACTGATTGCAAAAAGTCATTAGTTATAAGCTCTACGAGTGTTAAACAAATTGCCACTGATTTTAAACTTAGGAACGAGTGGCGATTCTGATTAAGTTGATAGTTCCTATAGGCATGCTTTCTAGGTGTAACTGATTTTGAGCAGAGATCCTATAGGCAGGTCATCCATATGTAATGAGTTATTTTAACTCCTATAAGCAGGCTTGCCTAATGACAAATGTAAATGCAAAGTGCAGGAAGTCCTATAGGCATATTATCTATACAATATGCAGAGCTTCATTATCGATTTATTGCCATGGTATTATTACAAAGTGCAGAAAACCTATGGGCATGGTATCTATGTGAAAAATGCAGGCTTTGAAAGTGATAACCCTATGAACATGGTTTCTAGGCGAGATGCAGAATTTTAAAGAGTAAATATCCTATAGACATGGTATCTACGTGAAAATGCAGAGTTTGAAAGTAATGATCCTATGAACATGATTTCTATGTGAGATGCAGAATTTTAAAGGGTAAATATCCTATGGACATGATTTATATGTGAAAATATAGAATTTTAAAGAGTAAATATCTTATAGACATGATTTCTACCCCTTTGGCATGCATTCAGTCCCATCCCCTTTCACTATACCCCAGTAGTTATTACAAAGTTATTTACAAAGCTTATTACAGACCAAGCGAATCAGAAGGAATAATAAAATTACATCAGTGATTACATCTACATCTAATCAGCCTAATCCAGACTCAAAGTCTAATAATATGAGATAAACCAACTTCCAGGATCGGATTTTCAAAGCCTTTCTCTTATTTGGGATGTGTCAAAGTTCCAAGGAACTTCAAGAATTCCAGGCAATGCTTACACCCCAAATATCATTGCAGAGTTAAGAACATAGTGCAGTGTGGAAGGGCCAGCCCTCAAATGTCCAAGTTCAGAGGGAACTCAAGGTCCCAAGGCAAGGCTCATAGGAGGGGGGCAGAACTTAGAGACTAGGAGTAAGTGTAAGTGCAATGAAAGGGAATTAGGGGGAGCCAGGGCAGGCTGGTGGTCATGCCCAGCAACTGGAATGCTGGCACACCCCTGACCCGCCGGTCAGCTTAAAAATTAAAGAGTTAGGACCTTTTGAAGGTCAGGTTCAGCCCTGGACAGCAACTTGGATGCTGCCAGGCTATACCTTAACTTAATACACATAAGGGAATGGGGGTATGGGAAATTGAAAGAGGCTAGGATCCAAAGGACCCAGTTTTAATCCATGACAATAACTTTGTATAATGCCATGTCTTAAACTACAGCCCAAGAACATAAAAGGGGGATGGGGATAGGGATTCATTGCAGCAACAGATAGCAAGACATAAGTATTACTTTAAAGTTGAACTCTACAAAGTAGTAAAGTAGGCATGGGCATAAAAGCTTGTAAATAAACATATTGGAGTTGATGCTAGAATCACAAGTAGGACATACCAGTTTCAAAAAAATAAATGAAAAGCAGAAGCTTTGGTAAGCCAAATTGCGAGCAAGCAATGCAAAAGATCTCAAAAGAGAGTAAAAAGTGTAAGAGAGTTTGTGATTCGAAAATCAGTGAATGAGGATTGTTGAAAGTATAGAAGGGAAGGCCCTTTTTATAGTGCAGCAAATAAGTAAGAAAAGGTAAGGAAAATAACCTTGAAAATCAATTTCCCTTCAATTAAGGGATTCTGATTTCCAACGGCTAAAGATAATTAAGGAAAGGGTCAATCAGAATATTTTCCCAAGCAGTACAATAAAGGGTAAATACATAAAAACTATTTAAGGTAAAAGTCTAGTGGTACTTGATTTGTGAAAAACAAGGAAAGGGAATCAGTAAAACAGCCAGTAAAAGAACCAAGTTGAAAGCCTTATTCGATTGAACCGAGTCAGAAAAGAGGTAAAGAAAAGTTTAATTTAGGGGAAAATCAGTAACAATCAAGTAAGCAACATTAAAGGGATTCAGAATCAATTATGTCACGACCCTAGTTCACCAATCGTGAACATGTCGTGACGGCACCTGGTCCCCATGACCAGGTAAGCCTAACATCTGCGGAAATATAATACTTGCGGAAAAATAGAGAAAATCAAATCAGGTATCTAAAGGAAACTATACTGAATGCCGCTTAGCAAGTACAACTCAATATCACAAGCCTAAAACAATTCCCAAAACCCGGAAACTCACGGGCAACACAGGCTACAGAAGTGAATAGTAAGGTTCCATACTCCAGAATTTCTAACAACCGAAAGAAGGAAAACTAAGTACTAAAGATAGCGTAAGAGGGAGACTCGTCGGTCTGCGGACGCAGCAGATCTGCCTCGAAGTCTCCGTAGTCCTCCTACCTCACTGATAGTGCGCCTGAGTGGAGGTACCTGAATGATCTGCACATGAAAAGCATGCGTAGGAAGGGCATGAGTACACCACAGCGGTACTCAGTAAGTTCCAAGCCTAACCTCGGTTGGGTAGTGACGAGGAAAGTCAGGGCCCTACTGAGACAATATATTATAATAATAATAATAATTTAACAGTATAAAAATCTGACAGATATAATAAGTACAATAGTGAGATAAGACAAGTCAACGAGGCTATAACAACTACACGAGTACAGAATAAAACAGCTCAATACCAATGGTAACAATGAGGGTCTAACAGGATACCGTCCTGTAGCCCCTTTTTCTCAACTGTCCAGTGGATCTCCCGGAATACCGTCCCGTAGTCCATCATATGTGTACATCCGAAGGATCTCCCGGGATACCGTCCCGTAGTCCAACCATCAATGTGCAGGGGGATCTATCGGGAATCGAACCCGCAGTCCCAAAGTAAAAGTGCAGGGGGATCTATCGGGAATCGAACCCGCAGTCCCAAAGTAAAAGTGCAGGGGGATCTATCGGGAATCTAACCTGCGGTCCCAAAGTAAATAGGCAGGGGGATCTATCGGGAATCTAACCCGCAGTCCCAAAGTAAATGTGCAGGGGGATCTATCGGGAATCGAACCCGCAGTCCCAAAGTAAACAAACAAGGGGGGAGCTACCGGAATCCCACATCCGTAGTCCCAATGTAAATGCGCAACCACAACCAGAAGATATTGAGAAATGAAGTACAAAAGACAAACATCAGGTAGTACTAGCCTAGCATGCTTCACGTAGTACAGTCAAGGCAACTTAAACAATTAGGCAAGTTAAATCAACTAAACATGCTTTTCTAATCTAACACAGATTATAACTGCAAGTAAAACAAGGCAAATATGAAGGCAACTCAGTCTCAATATCTTAAGTAAAAACCGGATTTTTCAACAATTAGCTCAAGTACGCGCTTGTCACCTCACGTACAAGGCACTCAATTACCACATCTCATATCCTAAGGGGAAAGGTCCCCCACACAAGGTTAGACAAGCCACTTACCTCGAACCGGCTCAATATCAATAGAAACCACGCCTTTGCCACGAGTATCTGACTCCAAATGGCCCTAATCTATTCAATTCAATTACATATCGTAAATAATATTGCAAACAACTGATTCCACTATTAAATTTAGAGCTAGGGCGCGAAAATAGGTAAAATGGCCAAAATGCCCCTCAGACCAATGCCTCAGAATCGAATAATTTTTACATTTTCAGAACCCTCGTACTCTCACGAGTCTAACCATATAAAAATCTCCCAAATCGGAGGTCAATTGCCCACTCAAAACTCAATAATTAGGTCTATGAAGTTTCTTCCAATTTTTCCCAAATTTTTGAC